TTGATTCTACTTTATTTTTTGGCACCACTGGGGAATAAATTTAGGGTTATATGCTTTGCGGGGCTGAGTGGCATCCTAGCCCCTTTTTACTTTGGGAAACAAAGTAAATGTAAATGGCCCAGGCCAGCCTTGAACTTAGATCCTCCTGCCTCGGCCCCTGAGTACCTGGTATCACAAGTGTGGCTCACTGCTCAGCTTCCTTTCATCCATTCTTATATTCCTTTTGCCTGTTTATGTTCAAACTATCACGGATCAGCCCCCCTCTCACCCCCTCCTGCCGTCCTGGTTCTCAACCTCCCTATTTCTTTTTTTATATTTTATTTGCAGGGCTACCGATTCAACCTAGGGCCTTGCAGATGACAAGTGCCCTACCAGTGAGCCACATTTGAAGCAGCTTCAGGTTCCTAGCAAGACTGAGCAGAAGACCCACATGCCCTTGCCCTGTGCTTGCTTTGTGGGTTCCCTGTTCCCAACACCCCTGGCAGAGGGAGCTTGGTACACGGTTGCTGGGAGTCCAGTTCACATAGGTGTCCGCTTGGTGGCGTGCGTTGTGTGGCTCTGAGCAAATGTGGCTGATGTGTATCTGTTGTGACAGAGTGCACAGGGTACGTCTGCTGCCCTGGGAGCCTTCAGCCTCTTCTCGCCTGACACCTGGCAGCCACTGACTAACTGCTGTCTGTGTGGTTTTTCCTTTGCCAGAATGTTGTATGATTGGAGTCATAGAGGACATAGTCTTTTCAGATGGGCTGCTTTTACTTCTGTGCATTTAAATTTCTTTCATATCTTTGCATGACTTTGTAGCTCATTTCTGTTTAGGTATTTATTTGTTTGCTTTTTGTATTCTTGAGACCGAGTCTCTCTGTGTAGTCCAGGCTGGTCTCGAATTCACTATGTAGTCTAGTCTGGCCTTGAACTCACAGCAGTCCTTCTGCCTCAGCCTCCTGAGGGCTGAGATTACAGGCGTGCGCCACCATGCCCAGCTCATTTCCTTGTCGCACTGCAGAATATTCCATTGTCTGGCTGTACTATAGTTTTTCCATTCATCTACAGCAGAACATCTTGATTGTTTCCACACTTTGGCAATTATGAGTAAACCTGCTGTAATGTCTTTGTACAGGGATTTTAAAGGATGTTTTCAGCTGTTTTGGATGAGTACCAGTGTGATTACTGGATCATGTATGGGTATATTTAGGTTTGTAAGAAACCACCCAGCTGTCTCCCAGAGTAGCATTTTGCTTTCTCATCAGCAAAGAATGAGAATCTCTTTGTTCTCCATCCTTGCCGAACTTTTGTGTTGTCAGTGTGCTGGTCTGGGCGTTGCGGGAAGTGTGTGTAGTGCCTGCTTTAGTGGGGCGCCTGACCCGTGTGCTGTAAAGTCTCACGTGTGGATCTGCTGCTGTGTCTCTTCTATGGTGAGGTCTTTCTCAGGCTCTGTGGCTCATGCCTCTTCCCTCCCCTCCAGTCCCTCTGGTTCTTTTTTTATTGGTGCCAGGTATTGAACTCAGGACCTTGTGCTTTCAAGGTGGGCGGTGGCACCACTGAGCTAAATTCTTCTGATTCATTCTTAAATTGGGGTTGTTTTCTTGTGAGTTTTAAGAACTATTTGGATACTATCCTTTATCAGATTCATCTTTTGCAGATACTTTCTCCTTTCTGTGGCTTGTCTTTTTATTCTGTTGACAATGTGTTTCACAGAACGTTAACGAAAAATCTAATTTACTAATTATTTCTTTCATGGATTGTGCCTTTGGTGCTGGATCTACAAAGTCACCTGTTGCCAAATCCAGCTGCTGTGGCTTGTGTCTAGATGTCTCCCCAAAGTCTCACGTGGTCATAGATGGGGCTTTTCCGAAGTGGCTGGGCCTGGGGTATGTGATGCTGTGATGGAGGGTGTGTGATTACTGAATCAGTCACTGATTGTTTTCACACCGCCCGATAGAGGATAAAAGGGACAGAAAGAAGCTGCTACGGTCTCTTACTTGCTTTGCTATCTTCTGCCTACCATGAATTGTTTATCCTTTGCCATGCCGCCTTGCCTTGGAGCCAGTTGTTTATGAACTGAAACCTCTACAAACTGGGAGCTAAACCTTTCCTCCTTTAACTTTGGGTGTCAGCTATTTTGTTTCAACAATGAGAAAAGTAACTAAGACACCACCATCATCTAGATTTTCTTTCATGTGATTTTTTAAAGAATTTTGTAGTCCTGATTTTACGTTAGGGGTGTCACCTACTTGGAGTTACTTTTTGTGGAAGGTGTGTGATCTGTGTTTAGAGTTGTGTTTTCACATGTGGGTGTCCAGTTGTGCCAGCACTGTTAGTTGAAAGGACCGTCTTCATTTTTATTATTTTTGCTTGTGGTCAAAGGTGGGTTTATTTCTTTTCTGTATTGTGTTTTGTTTCCTTTCTCGGAACAGGGTCTTGTTATGTAGCCCAGACTGGCCTGGATCCTGTGGCAGTCCTCAGCCGCCCGAGTGCTGGGTTATGGGTGAGCGCCACCACACCTGGCAAGTGGGTCTACTTCCCAACACCCTCTCCTTTCACTGATCCGTCTGTCCGTCTGTCTGTTCTGCACACTGTGTGGATTTCTTTTTAAATTAAAAAAAATTTTAAAACCTGTAGTCCTTACATTCATTAATCTTAAATTTTTACAGTTTCTTTTTCTTTTGGTGGGATAATTATTGCTTTTATTCTAAGAATTATGATGAGGTGAGTTAGGAATTTTTTCCTGTGCCTTAGATTAGGCCATGAAAGATATAGGCCATGAAAGATAATACTATTTAAACTATCAGTTATGAAAAAAAATTACTGATGAGGAATCACAGTGTTTTAGGAACCATGTAAAACAATGATGTTAGAGTGCTATTTTCCACTATAATTTTTTCCTGTGACGAAATCTGGACATGGCTTTTGTAAATGAGAGTACATTAGAGTGAGGTAGCAGCAACGTGAGACTTCCTATTTAATCTCCGCATCAATTCTGCTTTACACTGAAGCTGAAGAAGTGACAGTTGGCCAGTTTTCACTGGGGCAGAGCTTAAGCTCCTTCCTGTCTTGAGCACATAGGCTTTTCACTTTGTTGTATTTGTGCCATGTTATATAATTACAGGAACCTTAACAGGCATTGAGGGTTGGTTTTCTAGAAGGATGTGCTCTAACAAGAAGCAGACTTTGGGGGAAGAGCAAAGGCAGGTGAGCTCTGGAGTGGGAACATGCCAGGGTGTGTGGGTTGGGCAGCGCAGAATGCCTTTGTGTGGGTGTACAAGGGAGGGCTGTGCCACTGAGACGGTTTGGGTGTAGTGTGGGGAGTAACTGTAATTACACTGTCAGGATCTCTCCTGGCGGCGTGGCTGTGCTATTTCTTTTGTTTCTGTAGGTGCTTTTCATATAATGACATATCATACCTTCAGTTTGTCTTTACTTGAATTATGTAATGTCATACTAAAATGTGTATTCCAAGACCCTTTTCCTTAAATTTGAAACTAATATGTGCCCAGTGCAAAAATCTGGAAATTTTCTGTCACATGAAATTAATGACTTGAAAATATACACAGGACTTTGAAATCTTATGAAAAAAGAAAGTGTACTATTTCAGTAATTTTAAAATAGCAGTTCCATGTTTCATGGTGTTATTTTGGTTATATTGGGTAAAGTTAATATGTTATTAAAATTAATTCAACCCCTTTTTTTAACATCTTCAATGTGGCTACTAGAAAATGTAAATTTACATATGGCATTTTATTTTTGTTTGGCAGTGCCAATCTAGCATAGTCTCATCACTAGGTGATTAGGACCTGGATTAAGGTAATATTTATAGAAAAGAAAGGAGTGGTATTTAAGAGATTACGCATATGCATTATGTAATCTGTTGGTTACAGGATATTCTATAATTTTTGTGTGCTTCCTTCTCCTTTGTAATCAATAATAAACTTTTTGTTTGTTTGTTTTTTATTTTTTGAGACAGGGTCTCACTGTAGTTGAGACTGACCTGGAACTCATTATGTAGCCCAGGCTGGTCTCGAACTCACAGTGATCCTCCTGCCTCAGCCCTCCTGAGTGCTGTGATTACAGGCATGTGACACCACACCCGGCAATAGTAAACTTTTTGAAAGCAAGCACTATGTCACTTTTTAAATTTATTTTCTGCTCTGTATCTTGTCCTTTGCTGGATTCATAGGAAGTTGAAAAAACAAGAGTTAGTAGGATATGATAGCATATATTTATACACTTAAGTATGAACTTTTATAATGTATATCAGTGACTCCCAGAGTTCTTACTCCCTGTAGTTTAATATCACAGTTGCACTGGCCAACGACATTGGTCACATTCTTACAAAGGGCAAAGGAGGTTTACTCTTGCATTTACTCTTACATATGCCAATCTCTACAGGGTCATTCTTTGTCTTTTGTCACTTATTCCTTGTAGTAATCCTGGGAGGAACGTTACAGCCATCATTTTACAAGGTGAACCAACTGGTATTGAGTATTTTTCCCGGTGTTATAATACTGATACAGATAATGTCCAATTTCAGGGCTGGGGATTTAGCTCAGTGGTTCATCTGCCTGCCTTGCAAGCGCAAGGACCCAAGTTTGATCCCTTTTATCAAAAAAAGAAAAAAAAATCCAAATAATGTCCAGTTTCAGAGCCAGCATTTCTCACTGTAGTTCTTGTTTAGCTGAAGGTAGCCAGTTGTTTTGAGTGACTTGCGCTTAGTCTGATATTTTAGTTGACATGACATATTTGAAAGTAGTCATTAACATGAAATGTCCAATGATAAATTTTGACATTATTCTCCCATATTCAATAATAGTGAAAATTTAGAAATATTCCTTAAAACCTGAGAGGAAAAAGAAAAGGCATAGTTCTTTTCTCATTTTGTTTCCTTTGTGCATTGCAGTTTCAGAAATTTAACTATACTTCATGGAGAAAAATTAAGATCTCAATAGCTTTAAATATTTTTTATGTCATCTTTCAGATAAAATCAAAGACAAAATTAAAGAGAGAGACAAAGAAAAAGAGAGAGAAAAAAAGAAGCATAAAGTAATGAGTGAGATCAAGAAAGAAAATGGAGAAGTAAAGATTTTGCTGAAGAGTAAGTTCATATTCAGAGATTTTTGTTCTGTACTCTCCTATTCAGTATGCATATTAGCTAAGTGGTTAAAATAAGCAACTCTGGGGCCAGGGATTTAGCTCAGTGTTTCTGCCGCCTGCCTTGCAAGCACAAGGACTGGAATTCGATCCCCAGTACCCAAAATAAACAAACAAACAAACAAACAAATAAATAGAGCAGCTCTGTTTGCTGGTTTTTGCTGAGGATAATTATTGATAAATATTGATATTAAGGAAATGAAAAGCAAATACAATATTGGGGTGTGTTCCAGTCTTCACAGTGACATGTTTAGTGCCATATATTTAGTTGTAGTAGTGAGTTGTTTGAAACTTTAAAGATTAAACTTTACTGGACTGTTAGATTCCTTAACTTTTTTTTGGTACCAGGGATTGAGCTCAAGACCTTGCACTTGCAAGACCAGGTGGTGGCGCCACTGAGTTAAATAAACCCCTGGCCTTGGATTCCTTAAGTTTTTAAAATAAAAGGTATCTTGGTAAATAATTGTTTTCATTATTAGTATTTGTTTATATTTAAGTAATGTGTAAGACTAAAGCACTTTTCAGCATAATACAGATGGTGTAAGAAGTGTTCTGCCAGGTGAGGATGTGTACTTGGGAGGCTGAGGCAGGAGGATCACCAAGAGTTCAGGGCCAGCTTGGGCTAATAGTGAGTTCAAGGCCAGCCTGAGCTACACAGTGAGACCCTGTCTCAACCAAAAAGGGGAGGGGTCTTCTTACAAATATTTCGTAGCCTGGGATTAAGAGGAAACATTTTACTCTGAGTTTAATTCTAAGGGATTGTTCTTTTCCTGTACGTGTTTTGCATGAATAAGAATATAGTCTTTTTGATTCCTGCTTCTCTGTTGTTACAGTAATTGTATATAATTATTGTTCCTTACATGGGTTGGGGTGGAGATAAGAATTTGGGGAATAGGTAGTTGGATAATAAATGAAATATAAATCCTATGAATAAATCAGAACTTTTTGGGATTTTGTGCGAGAATGGAAAGGAGATCCTGAAATTCACTCAGGTAACTAGATAAGGTTCCTCCATCCAGGTGGCAGTTGCTGCTCAGAACACATTGGCCTTGATTAATTTCGTATTGCATTTATGTGTGGGTTAGCCTTTAGCCCTTCCTGGGGGTGCCTGCGTGCCTGTAGCACAGCATGTGGTTAATTTACATTATTTTCATCTTTCTTTGTCATGTTTGCAGGTGTTCTTTGGGGGCACTTTATCCAAGCTCTGTGTTCTGTGTATTCTGCCTGTTTCTGTGGGCTGGGGATGTAGCAGTGACAGTGTGCTTGACAAGTGTGTGATCCTCCAGTCAACCCCTAGTAGTGGAAACAGTGTTTTCTAAATTTTCTATAATGTTGTTTCAATTTGAGGAAGTGTGTCAGAGTTTAAGCTGGTGACTTTTTAGTTAATGCCCTTGATCCTTTTGTTCTATTTCTTTTGCTGTGGTGTTTTATCTGTGTTGTCTAGTTAGACTGTTAGCTTTTGAGGCAGGAATAGAATTTAACCTCACTGGTGCTGTAGGTGGCAAAGGATGAATGTTTGAAGTGTTTACTTCAGTGTTTGGCTGAGTCAAATACTAGTTTTTTGTTTTTTTGTTTTTACTGGTTTAGTCAAAAGCTGTTTTCTTACTCATTTGGGTTTACAGTGATATAAAATTCTGCTTGAGAAGGAATCTGTCCTAGAAATATTTTATAAAAGCTTATGTTTTTAGTTGAATGCTAGATTCCTAATGTTATTGAGAATTATGTAAATCTACAGATTACTGTGTTCATGAAAGTAAAATTGAAATAACCTAAAATTGAGATTTTCTTGGAATATGTGATATTAATCTTGACTTTGAAGCAGTATTTAGAGGTAGTTTGAACGTAGCTAAAAGTGAAAGTAGTGATGATAAAGGAAAAATATTGAGATAGATTTGTAAATTGATTTGTGACTTCTGGGAGTGACAGAAATTTTGGGGGAGCTGTTGGCACTGCACAGCGGAGGTGAGTGGTAATGCAGCAGTGTTGTGAGGAGGGTGGGAACTGAGCATCAAGGTGGGCGGCTGCCCGGGCACCAGGCACCGTCCTATCCTGTAAACAGACTGCAGAGGTTAACTTTTGTGATGCAAAAGCGAAACTATCTCCTTTCCTCAGCTTGCCTGCCTAGATAACTGAATATAAATGCCAATCTTTTGAAAGCACTTCCTGTCTCCTTGAGAGCACTGAGGCCTCTACGCTGTTGTTATCCTCTGGTGGAAACTGCTGCCGCGTGTGGCCCGGCCAGGCGACCCCCAGGCACCAGGGAGCAGCGCCAGGCCACACACTGCGATTCAGTGCGCCCCTTGGCCGTATCCAAACCCTTTGTCCTCCCCTTCCCGATGTTGATACTGCAGGCTGAAAGACAAGCCCGCCTTGTGCGTGGTCCTGCTTCAAAGTCACGTGCTGACCACGTTCCGCACTGATCTCGATTCCTTCAAGTTCTTGTTAAAAGCTGTGTCACTTTTTAGATGACTAGAAATATGTATACAATTCTATGTATGCTAAAACATTTTTTAATGCAAATAGTCTTTTAAATGTTATCTTTGGAAAATGTGATTATTTGCTTTTAGAGATAGTTTAAAGGAACAACTAAATTTGAAACATAAGGTTATTTAGTGATTTTCATCCTTTTCTTCTGAGGTTCATCTGAGCATATGTCTGTGTGTGTTCCATTTTTATGTGGTTTAGAACATTGTAAAGACATGTGGTAGGGTTTTTGAGGGTAAATTTTTGCCGTTAGCCTGTCAGAGACGCTTGCACTGCAAAGGTGGAATGGGGTTAAGCCAGGGTCAAAGGTTACTAAAGGTCATGGGAAGGTACAATGCAGCTGGATACCAAAGATTGAAAACTGCTAACTACTACTTTGTTTTCTAGGCATGATAATGGATTTGTCTGTATCATTTCCTATGTCAGTTATGAAGTAAGGTGTAGTTTTTCTTGGTAACCTTCATTCACTTTATTAACACAAAAGTATCCTAATGGTAGTGGTGGAAAATAGTATCAGCAGGTTATTGATGTATTTTTTTCCTGGTACGGGGGATTGAACTCGGGTCCATACACTTGCGAGGCAGGCAACAGAACCAGTGAGCTAAATCCCCAGCCTCAGCAGGTTATTGATTTTTAAGGTGATTTTTTTTTCATGATTGGGCATTAAAAACACATGCTGTCTCTGTACCCATCTCTGCCCATGGCTCCTGTCTCTTTGTGAGCGTCCATTTGTTGGCAGTTTGTGTGTGTGCTTCTCGTTTCTGGTTCCCTGGCTCTGTTTGGCTTGTGCTCTTGACTCTGTGTTTCTGTGTGAGACTCTGTGTGTGTGTGTGTGTACACTTGTGGTCACATCTTACATTTTTAGGGTTCAGATTATTTAGCAACTTCATTCTGTTATAAATATTTAACATAGTTTTTTAATGGGTCTGCTTGTTAGGCTCTATTCAAAGAATTATATGTTTTTGAGTAATCAGTACTTTAGCTACTTTTTAGTATGAGAAGGACATTAATATTCAGATGGATGGGCTAGGGATTTGGTTAATTCCTGCTTGGCAAGCATGAAGTCCTGAGTTTGATCCCCTATTCCAAAAAAAGAAAATCATGTGGTCTTTATGCATCTGGTACATAATCACCTAATTCATTTCATATGTGTAGAGAAGAACTGGGTGAGAGATTATATAAAGCTCTGTTGTCTGTCTTGTGAGACCTTAGTGTCTCGTTTCCATCTGAGCTATGACCCTAGGGCTCGCTAAGACAGCCCTCAAATTTGTGATTTGCTGCGAGGACTGTGGAACTCAGTCTATAGTTGTCCTCAGAGCTATGCTTATTATACTGGAGGACACAACATAAAATCAGGAGGGCATGCACACACCTCCTAGAGTCCTTGGCAGTGGTGTCGAATGGGGTCCTGCGCCATGACAGCGCCAGGGAAAAAGTCCCAGACCAGGGTCTGCCCGTGAACTCCTCCACCCAGCACGGAGCGACTCAGCCTCAGGCCCCGGGAGGCGAGTGTGGCCGAGTGCGCTGTGTGGTTTGTGGGACACCTGGGACACGGGGTGCTCAGTGTGGGGCGTGGGCTCAGCGGAAGGAGCTCTTCCCTGACTTCTTGTTACTTTGCATTTTATAGTTGCTGTTATATAGAAACGTGTTCTGGGTCATGCTCGAGTTGAACATAAGGGTTGCTGTTTTATTTCAAAGGAGTCATGTGCTCTGAAGCTGTATATTTTCTAATTAAACTCTTTAAAAAAGTGTGTTGGGTATTGTGAGCACTGTCCAGCAGTGCCTCAAACCTGAAAGAGCAGCAGGGTGGAGATGGGGCAGAGAGAAAGGAAGGGACACCAAGACAAGAGTCTGATCAAGGCGACGTTTATTGCCGGCAAGCATCAGCCTTTTAAAGC